GTGGTTAAGACGCTGAACTGCAGGCTGTGGAAGGTCGGTAGTTCAGCAGTTCGAGACCCGAGTGTGCCGCATGACGGAGTGAACTCCCGTCTCTAGTTCCAGCTCCTGCCAACCTAGCAGTTCGAAAGCAAGAAATTGCAAGCTGATAAATAGGTACCACTTCAGTGGGAAGGTAACAGCGTTCCGTGCCCCTTGGTGTTTAGTCATGCCGGCCACATGACCATGGAAACATCTTCGGACAGCGCTGGCTCTTCGGCTTGGAAACGGAGATGAGCACCGCCACCCCAGAGTCGGATTTGACTGGCTTTCGAGCAAGGGAACCTTTACCTTTACCTTATGCTCAAATATCCTGGCTAGGGAGAGCGGGAGAGCGGAGGCTGGGGGGGCAATAGAACTGACTGGCACTCCTACCACTCAGATACCACCATAACCACTGGCCAACTCCCGCCTTTTCCTGGATTTAGCCCAGCCCCAGGGCAATCCCGGGAGGGCTCCCAGGCCCCCCTAAATTTCTGGGGGACCCCTCACTAAATCCCACATGGCTCTGCCCTCATAGATGGTGACAATGGCCTTTAACATCACTGGATCCTCCGTATGATGTCACTGGGCCCCAGTTCTTTTAAGGACCTAGCATAGCAACGCCTCTGGCCCAGCCCCCCCCCCCCGAGAAACTGGAAAGTTCTAAGCCCCTGGCTCTGAGAAAATAAGGAGCCCACATCCAAAGTAGTTCTAACACGTAAGTCACACAGAGCAGAGCAAGAGACCCCATGGAGGGAAAATCACACCCCATGGAGGGAAATATTGTTATTTTTTTGTGTGTTCATAAAGTCAACAATTCCAAACCAGTAGAAAACAGCAAGTCTCCTGTAGGACTTTAAAGTCTAACAAAACCTGTGGCGGGGGATGAGCTGGTTTCTTATTTTGCCCACGGTGATTCACGAAAGCTCCTCCCCTGCAGGGCCGGCTCACCCACTAGGCGAACTAAGCATTCGCCTAGAGCGCCGGACCCTGGATGGGGCAGCGGGTCCTGGATGGGGGCGCCGAACTGCGCTTCCCCCCTGCCGCTGCAGCTCACTCGCGCAGGCGGGCTCCTTACTGCGGGGCTCGGAGGCGGTGATGGGAGCCGGGAGTGGGCGGGGGTCTGGGGTCTGGTTTTGCGAACGAGTCGAGGCGAATGAGGGCGGCTTTGCTAGAGGAGCCGGGGGTGGGCGGGCCGGGGGGGCGGGCGAGGTCTGGCGG